CCTATATACATGGTCATGCCTAGATAATCTCATAATTATTCGCTTTTCTATCAATTGCGACAGTAATTTGTTCACCCACTACAATACTTATGTTATCTTGAGAGAAGCCACTAGTGAAACCTATGGCCCCCGGGTCTATCCTATATCATATAAGCTTTCAATCTACTTTTATTTGCATCTTTATTTTCTGCATCTATATTACAAAATACCAAAAATATATTTATCTTATCGTACTATCTCTATCAGATCTCACTTTCGCAAGTGGCCGTGAAGGGATTGACAACCCCTTTATCGCGTTGGTTGCGAGTTCTTTGTTTGTTTGTGTAGGTTCGTGGGACTTGTGAGGAGCCTCCTACTGGATTGATACCTTGGTTCTCAAAAACTGAGGGAAATACTTACGCTACTGTGCTGCATCACCCTTTCCTCTTCAAGGAAAACTAACGCAAGCTCAAGACATAGCATCCAGCGGCGCATGGAGAGAGGCAGTGGCGCGAAGGTGATGGGCAGCGGCGCGGTGGTGACGGGCAGCGGCGGGTTGGGTGGTGGTGCAGACATGATCAGAACTGAGCTACCTGATACCAAATTGGTAGGAGCTAGGATCCTACCTGGTCTAGGGCGTAAGTTGTACGGGAAGGGGAGGGTTGACGAAGATGCGATCGCGGCTGCCGGCGGCGGGGCGCCGTGGCGCGATAAAGAAGAGATGGCGGCGGTGCAAGAGACGACTAGGGTTAGGTCTCCCGGCTCCCTTCGAGAAGCCGAGCAATGCTTCTTTCTTGATTAGATTGATACATCTCATCTCCTTATATAGAGAGGTTTACTTGACTCCTAAGTAAATGATCCTAATAACGATAAGATAATTGGGTTAAGCCCCTAATAAAAATAAGATAACTTGGGCCACAACCCACTGGGCTAAGCCCCTAATATGCCGATCATAACACACCCACATAAGCATTATTTAACCATATGGCACACTTGCCATGTCCAAAATAACATTCATAATTATCTTTGTCCAAACAAGAAACACTAATTAAGTTTCTATGACATGATGGAACAAATAAAACATCTCTAAGTAGAAGATTGAATCCATCAGCTAACTCCAAGGAGATGTCATCGACAGCTTCAACTCCTGCTTCAACTCCGTTTGCCACTTCAATGCGTCTTTCGCTTCTTTGCGTAGTCTGCGTCGAATGGAGTCCCTGTAAAGAATTTGCAACATGAACAATTGCTCCTGAGTCAATCCACCAAGTGGATTTTGAAAACTGTGTATGCAAGGATTCATTTACAAAGGAAACTATATTGTTACCTCTTTTTGCCATGATTGACTTCAGCCAATCAGGGCAGTCTTTCTTGTAATGCCCTTTCTTCTTACAGTGGAAACAAGTGTCTTTGTCCACTATGAAATGTTGTTGCTGACGCTGATGCTGATAGGGAGCTTTTCCTTGTGGCTTTGAAGAAGAACCTTTGTTGTTTTGATTGTAATTCTTTTTCTTTTTTCCTTCACATAGTTGAGTGAACCACCATGTAAGGCTTTGAGTCTGTCCTCTTCTTGGACACACATTGTTATTGTCTTTTTAATGTCCCATGTTCCAGGTGACATATTGTAGTTTACAACAAAGGTTTCAAACTTCTTTGGCAGTGAAGCCATGACCAGGTGGACCAGGAGCTTTGGTTTGATCTCCAGATCCTCATCCATGGGCTTAAGCTTTACCGCCATGTTGCTCATTCTGAGGATGTGCTCTCTTATTCCATGACTACCTCCAGCGTAGTTCTCTGTCACCAGTTGCTTCAACACCAGGGTGGCATATATCTTTGAAGAGCCAGTGAACTGGCTCATTATCTTTGTAAGCAACTCCCATGCGGAAGTGCACTCTGCAATTGAGCCCACAATGGTGGTCTCAACTGTATTCTTTATAAATGCCATGCATTTTTTGTTTGCATTGACCCACTTTAGGTTTTCAATGGAATATCTCATCTCCACTGGAGCATGATCTTTTTTATACTTCTCCCACGCATCATCATCATCAGTGGCCTCTCTGACTGGCTCTGTAGGTCTGACCGGCCGTGGTTCATCCATAGCCCGGCCCCAAGTCAGCACGGACAAATGGCAGGTCTACTTTCTTCCTCCACTCAGTGTAGTTATCACTTTTGAGTGTCGGAACATTTTTTAGGCAACTCATCAAGTGGAAGCCTCCTGAAATCACAATTTAAGTGAGATCAGTATAACAATCATATGCATCAATCTAATGTTGGTCAAATTAAACATACAACTGTCTATGCAATTAAATCTATATTACCGTTGGGCAAAATATTAGAAATAAATGCACCTTTAATTTCAATAAAACATGATCATGTTATTAACAACGTTGGTCATAAAAAATAGCATAATCATATAATTTCAATAATTACTTTAACATGCTCTTAAAACTTAATTCTATGTACTCTTTTATTTGTAAAAGAGCACTATTAATTATTTACGCAACGGAAAAACATGAATAAAAATTCGCAATTTGTTTTACTTTTTACAGAAACTTTTCTTTGACTAAATAAATATTCATGAACTTTATTATTTTCTTTATAAAATTCATGAACATTTTTTAAAAAAAAATCTTGTTTTCGTTTTCAGAAACTTTTCTATTTTCTAGGTGCAGCAGAGCCCAGCGCACGTGGCAAAAAGGCCCAGACGGACTCGCTTTTCTTTTGGCCCAGTGGCCAGCGCTGCTCGTTGCTCGCGCCTGAGCTGGCCGAAAACGGCCCAGTGGCCCAAGGCCTGTTTGCGTGCCACCGGCCGCCAGCCTCGCCTCAGCTTCGGCCCGAAAGGCCCACAGCGCGAGCTAGGGTTTACTGGTGGCCGTCGGATCAAATCTGACAATCGCACGTGTCCTCGCTCGATAAACCGCGTCTCAGCCGTCGGGGGCTCATTCCCCCCGCACGCGCTGCTCTCTGTCTGGTCTCTCGCTCTCCCCCGACGGCAGATAGAGCCACGCCCCGTCCGCCGGCGACGGCAGCGAAAGCCACCGCACTGCGACGCGCCTTATCTTCCTTTCCCCCCTCCATTTCACCCATCCACCATTGTCTCCTGCGACAGAGCGAGAGAGAGGCGCAACCAGGGTCCTCCTCTGCTCCTCTGTCAGCCCGAGTGGCGCCGGGTACGGGCTATGCCGGCCGCCCGCGACGAGGTCGATCAGCCACCACACCGCGAGCCCCTTCCCTTTCTTTCAACTCTCTTCCACCGCTCTCTTCCCTTTTGAATCGAAATCTTCGACAACGGCGGAGCTTCGAGCCGTGGCGCCGTTGCAATTCCCTTCGTCGGCTTCGCGTTCCCCTCTGTGGTGAGCGCGCCGCCGTCGAATGGATCGGCCGTGGTACACTTTGCCCCTCGCGGGGTTGTTCTTCGTCCAGCGCCTCGGCTTGCCGATGCGCGTCTGGATCGAGAGGAACGGCGCGGCCTTGCGGCGGCGCTCTTTGCCGGCGAGGCCCGAGGCCCTAGTCTGGTGAACTTTTGGGGTTTTTTTGGGTTTCTTTTCTCTGTGCCCTGCTAGGGTTCTTTGGGGGGTAGGATCTTTCTGTTCTTTCTTCTCTTACCGAAAATATCACTAGAACCCAATGGCATCTGATACCATTGATAGACCCACTAGATCGTATGGGTCAGTGATTTCCGGTAGTGGGGTGTAGAGTATTACCTTCTCCTGCACTTGAGGTGCTCCCGCTGGTGTCGGCCATGGTGAAGCAGTGGCCGGTGATGGCAGAGAGATGGCGGCGGTGGTGTGCTTCCCGTGAGCACCGCGCTAACCCTAGATAGGTATGGAGTGTCGGTGGGGTTTGTGGCAGCGATTAACCTCGTAAGTCGTGCCCCGGCCCCTACCTTTGTTTATATAGCGCGGGTCACAGGGGCCACCAACCATGGTTTCGTTGGGCGTCCCCGATCAGGGCGCGGTGCAAGGGCCCGTTCGATCTGTTGGGCTCGAACGGAAGAGAGATCAACCTAACACTAAGATGTATTTGGAGTGTCTTTTCTTCAAAAAAAAAGGGGGGAGGGGGGACCTCCTTTACATGGCAGGCAGTAGTAGCACAAGACATTGCATATTCAAGATGGTACGAAATATGCCTGCATAGGGAATGAAACATGCAAATAACGATGAATAACATAGGATGCAAGATAGAAACCTGAACAATTGACACATAACTTTATTGAGCTATTATAGTCTTGACTTAGTGCAATAAAGCCGAATCTATTGTATCCTAGAGTAATGTTTGATTGAAACCGACTAACCCATTAGTCTAGAAATTGAGCAAATTGCCCCCCAAAAAAAGGACTTATGAGGCTAACGGCATAAATTGTCTGTGAACTAGGACATGCCAAAAATAAACATATTGCCTTGGTGGATATTGTTTTCTGATAAAGAATTTATTCCTCAAACTTTATCTCTGATTACATTAGAAGTCCGGTCATTGGCTTCCCCAAACATGAATTGCGCAAAATCAAAATTTCAATGTGAGGATATTCATGGCATCCGATACTCCAGGAACTATATATGATTTTCATTGTAATGAAACATCAATTTTCAAGAAAATATATGGCAATATCAACATGATTTTACCATAGCAACATTGTTATGTTCAAGAGTGTTTTTATCGTGGTGGTGAGACCGTCATAGCTACAATTGTTAATGTAAAAGATCCAGGTATCATATTCAACGACGTTTAGACACAACAAATGGTTTTCCATAGAACCGTATCTTAAATACGATTAGGGAGAAGAGAAATTGGTATACGGGGATAAATCATATATTCAGGTTGTCAACGGATACAAATAGCAAGGCCTGCACAAACAGGAAAACAGATCTAACTAATAAATATATTCAACTTTTGATGAGCTAACTCAAGAAGAATATAGCATTGTAACTCACATAGCTTCATAAATAATTAGCTAGGCTCTCTAAGATTCATGTAATAGTTACCCACAACAACAAAAAATATTCATGTAACAGCAAGATGTTCATCTATGTTTTGCGAAGCTTACTAGACCTCTCCAATACATCCACCAAGATATAAGGGCGATTTCTTTTGAGATTTTCATAACCAGGGGTTGCCACCACAGCATCCATATCCTGTGAAGTGGACATAAATTCAATGCAAGCATCCTTAAGCTCGTCACAGTGATGTTGATCAGCCAAGCCCAACGTGGTTGCCACGGTCTGCACGTTAATATTCTCGCAAAGGAGGCTTTGACATAACAGCTTTAGCCTCTCCATGGCATATCGATCCGCGGCCACTAGCAAGTGCCGAACCATTTCAATATGACCTTCCCTCTCAAGATCATCAAAAGCAGCTGGCAATGCATCACTGTAGATGAAATAGAGAAGTGCCTTGAAGACATCAGGCTGTATCTCTTCGATGGTTACGAGCTGTGCCCTCGTCTCCCTCATCGGCCCATAGAGCTCCGCTTCAAACACAGGCGACCGCATGGCGAGAATGATCCTGTGTGCCGTGAAAGTCTCCCCTGCAACACTGAATGTGACATCTGCCTTCTCCTTTGCTTCTAACAGCCTGCCGAGATGCACGATGATATCGGAAGGCGGCACCTCGATTCTAGGGGGTAGTTTTATTTTAGAGACCCGAGGTTCTTTGATGACTGTGATGGCGCAGTTGATCTTGAGGCCGTCGTCGTGAAGGTACACCGATGCTTCGAACTCGCCCCTTTTTTATGAAATGAGTGCCGATGGGTGGAGCAAACCTGCTCTCCATGTTCTGGCAGAACATCCTCGGCTCTGTCTTGTGCACGGAACACAGCAACCCTTCGCCGTCGACCAGCCTGAGGTCGCAGGATGTGTGGACCCTGGCGTCCTTGCTCAACAGCTCCAGGTAAATTGCGATGTGATCTTCGTTGTGTTGCCCATCACCATCAGGATAGAAGCGGATTTCCCACTCATGGCCCCCGACGGAAAAGGAGCCGGACCCGATGACCTTGCCGATGCCCATGCCCTTGTGATGGCTGTACCGGCGGATCTTGAACACGTGGACGCCCTCCACTTTCACCGGCGTGCACGTCGACACCGTCTTCGTGGCCGGCATTATGCGGGGCATGGACGGACGAGCAGGATCGCCGCCGATGGAAGAACCGCCAGCCACGGCGGCGGTTAGGAGTTTTGAACTGCGTGCCCTAACTCAGCGCATACGCACGATTCAGATGGTGAAGAAATTTGAACGCATTGGGAAGTGCAGATGTGAAAAATGGACGGGAAAAGAAGAATGGAAAATAGATGGTGGAAGAAACCCAACCTTGAGATGATCGGAGAAGTAGGCGGCGGCGAAGAAGACCAGAGGAAATCTTAAGGTGAGGAGACGGAGACCTCGTGGGACGTGGGTCTTTTGTTGTTTCGTATCTGACTGTTCTCGCACCGCACGGTAGTTATCGGACTGTGCTGCACTAATTACGTGCTGCCCCCATAACTGCTCCCCGTGACGTGAAGCACGTTTGACATCCCATAAAAACCTCTCAAATCATTCTTCCTCGATTCCATGTATGCTACTGGTTCAAACAAACAAGGAAATGTTTTTGACCTGAAAATGGCGTAATTGTTTTTCACCATTTGTTTTGGATTAGGTTCCTTAGGGCATCTCCAAGGCAGACCGTAAACCTCCCACAACTGTCCGGACCGCGGAAGTCATCCAACGCCGACATTTATCTGTTCACGGCATGGTCCGAACGCGATTTCTCCTGCAAACCGACGACGAGTATGAAAGGTTTGCGGGGTCCGGACCGCTCCTAAGTCCGCTTCTGCCGCCCTGGCCCATCAAAAACCCATCACTCTGCCCCTCCCGAGCTTTCCTTCTGATGCACGCCCCCATTCATTCCGGCCCAAAGCACATTGAGGCCGGCATTGATGTCGCAATGTGACCGGAGGGAGCGAGGGCGGCGCTGACTGATGCGACCTCTCGGCAGCAGCCGCTTCAACGCGGACGCAGGTTCCCGGGGAACCAACTCCTGCCGTTGCGCTGCATTGAAGCGGCTGACCGTCCCTTCGTATGGCCTGGCCATGGCTTTTTAAGCCACGCTCCGGCGTCGCCCACATCACATCTTCTCCTCCTCCTCCTCCCCCTCTCCTCCTCGCCCATCTCCCTCCACATCTCCGGCGATGGGCAAGTCATGGGCGTCGGCACCGGCAGGCCGTTCCGGGGCGGATCTAGCGGCTCATGGAGACACCGCCCTCGAACTCTGGGGACGTCGTCCTCGTCGGCTGGAGGTGATTCGACGCGGGCGGAGATCGCCATCTCCTCCGACGACGAGGAGCACTAGCAGTCGCCGCCGCCACAGTCTGCACCGGCGGTACCGTGCCAGGTCTACACCGGCACGGCCATGGAGTTCGAGGAGCGGATGGAGCTGATGCTTCGTCGCTCCATCGTCCACACCAACGGCCCGGCTCCGCCACCGGGGGTGCTCCTCCCCGTGAAGCCGGAGCCAGCATCCCCTCCAAGCTCTGCCGCCGCGCAGCCACGGCATCCAAATCGAATGTCGTGTTAAGGAAGAGCGGCCCTCGCCGCCGCCCCGACGCGTCAAGGAGGAACGCCGCTCGCCGCCGCCCCGGCGCGTCGTGAAGGAGGAGTACCGCTCGCTGCCGCCCCTGCCCAAGGCGCGCGGGCGCATTCTGCACTACCTCCATAGCGGCGGCTCCTCGCCATCATCCCGGAGCGCCATGACGACGCAGGAGTATGCCGACCGAAACAGCGTCGGCGGGACAGCTGCAATGCTGGACAGATACAAGTTCACGGACTCGGACGTCCCGCAGCCACACATCATGGTGGACCCAGACCTGCGTACGCCTGGGCCCTGGATCGCTCTGTGATGACGTCAGAGACGGCCAAGTGCCGCCTCCGCCACCTATATGGGGAAATGGCCAGGTACGGCGAGGAATGGTCCCCCCGGCCGAGATTGCCGCCGCCACCAACGACAATGCCTCCAACGACCGCCGCCCTCTCCCCCAGCCCACATCCTCAGTGGCCACGACCGAACTGCGCACGGTGCAGTAGGAGGTGGAGAGGATCATCCGCGAGCGTCAGGCAACTGCGGGGAAGCCCTATCGCGACGTTTCCACCTTCCGTTGCCCCAAGCCTGATGATGACGACTCCGGCGCCGGGTCGGGAAACAATGACAGAGGAAGAGCCGCCGGCCATCCCGGCATGACCTACGAGGTCACCATGAAGTATAGGATAGTTTTGGGTTTTAATTTTGAGTTTTTAGTTCACCAAACAAAATATCTGTTGGGGAACGTAGCATGCAATTTCAAAAAAATTCCTACGCTCACGCAAGATCTATCTGGGAGATGCATAGCAATGAGAGGTGGAGATTGTGTGCACGTACCCTCGTAGACTGAAAGCGGAAGCGTTTGATAACGCGGTTGATGTATTCGAACTTCTTCTCGTTCCGATCGATCAAGCACCGAACGTACGGCACCTCCAAGTTCTACACACGTTCAGCTCGATGACGTCCCTCGAACTCTTGATCCAGCAAAGTGTCGAGGAAGTAGATGCGTTCCGTCAGCATGACGGCATGGTGACGGTGATGATGAAGTAATCCGCACAGGGCTTCGCCTAAGCACTACGAAGATATGACCGGAGGTGTAAACTATGGAGAGGGGCGCCGCACACGGCTAACGATTATTGATGTGTGTTCTAGGCGCCCCCTCCCCACATATATATAGGTGGGAGGGGAGGGGAACAGCCTTGGGGCGCCCCAAGTAGGAGGAATCCTACTTGGGGGCCTAGTCCAATTCCCCCCCCCCTTGCCATATTTTCCGGAGGGGGAAGGAAGGAGGAGGGAGGAGGGAAGGAAGGGGGAGACCGAATCCCTCCCCTTCCTTCTCTCTTCCCCTCTTTCCTTCCTCCTCTGGTTCGGCCCATATGGGAGGAGCAGCAGCCCTTGCTGGCTGCTGTGTTTCCCGCCTTGGCCCATTAGGCCCATATCTTTGCCGGGGGGGGTGCCCGGAACCAATTTCGGTGACCCGATATGTACCCGGTACCCTCCGGAACACTTCCGGTGTCCGAATACTATCGTCATATATATATGTCAATCTTTACCTCTCGACCATTTCGAGACTCCTCGGCATGTTTGTGATCTCATCCGGGACTCCAAACAACATTCGTTCACCAAATCACATAACTCATATAATACAAAATCGTCATCGAACGTTAAACATGCGGACCCTACGGGTTCGAGAACTATGTAGACATGACCGAGACACCTCTCCGGTCAATAAATAATAGCGGAACCTGGATGCTCATATTGCTTCCTACATATTCTACGAAGATCTTTATCAGTCAAACTATTATGATAACATACGTTATTCCCTTTGTCATGGGTATGTTACTTGCCCGAGATTCGATCGTCGGTATCTTCATATCTAGTCCAATATCCTTACCGGCAAGTCTCTTTACTCGTAACATAATACATCATCTTGCAACTAACTCATTAGTCACTTTGATTGCAAGGCTTCTTATGATGTTTATTACCGAGAGGGCCCAGAGATACCTCTCCGATACTCAGAGTGACAAATCCTAATCTCGATCTATGCCAACCCAACAAACAGCCTCGGATATACCTGTAGAGCATCTTTATAATCACCTAGTTATGTTGTGATGTTTGATAGCACACAAGGCATTCCTCCGATATCCGGAAGTTGCATAATATCATAGTTGGAGGAATATGTATTTGACATGAAGAAAGCAATAGCAATAAAAGCTGAACGATCATAATGCTAAGCTAACGAATGGGTCTTGTCATCACATCATTCTCCTAATGATATGACCCCGTTCATCAAATGACAACACATGTCTATGGTTAGGAAACTTAACCATCTTGGATCAACGAGCTAGTCTAGTAGAGGCTTACTAGGGACACGATATTTTGTCTACGTATCCACTAGGGATGAAAACAGAGCGGAAACGGACGGAACTGAGTGCTATCATATTTGTTTTCATATTTTTTTGCAGAAGCGGAAACGAATACAGAAACCTCAGAAATGAATACGGAAACAGATACTACTGGAAACGGACACGGAGCGAATACAAAGCGGACACGGAAACAGAAATAGGCATTGATCGGAACTTAAAAACCCCTTGAATCATAGAGAAATACACACAAAAATAAAGAAATTTAATGAGTTGTTAACATGGCTACAAAATAGTATCATTATGTTAGCAACTTAGTGTAGTATTGTAGCAGTACTGGACAATTGCATATAGGGTCAAGCTGAGTACATGTGGTAGTAGAAGTTGGGCCTTAGATCCATTGTACTAATTGTGCCATTGTGTTCTCTTTGGTGGTTGGGCTACAAAGCAGCTATAGGTCTATAGTAAAAATAGAAATTCCATATTCACGGAAACGGAAAGTTCCATTTCCATGCATGTTCCACCGGAAAACACCGTTCCGTTTTTGTTTCCGTTTTCATATTTCCTCTCCGTTTCCATT